TACATGATATAAGCCATAGTCTGTACGGGTTATTAGAATTCCCATAGTATTTCCTCAGAATTCTCAAAACCAAAATCTATCACAGAACAACTTTTAAACTCATCTCAGAATTCCTTTGAGATTGAACCTTCAAAATTCGATTCCATTGGAATTCTCGGAACTTATTTCGAACTCTTTAGAATACTCTTGGAATTTCAGAACTAATTTTGAATTCTTATTAGAATTGGACCTACAATCTTAATCCAATCATCATAGAATTCTTCTCAGAACTCTCGTTAAACGCACTCTCAATTATATCGGAATTATTTTCAAAATTGTTCGGAGCTAAATTTTGCGTCTCTAATAATTTAAGCAATAATAAAAAGCGACGCTCGTGTGTGTTAAGCCAAGTTTAACTACATAGGAAAACCTGGCTTAAGATTTAAGCGGAGATGAATAAATCGGTTCTCAGAGCACTTAATTTTACATGAGACTTTCGTAGTCTGTACTTTGGTATTCTTCTTTGATATATCTTGGTGTCATCCCTAGAATCCTTTAAGATTCTCTTCAAATTTACATTGGATTTTTTAAAGTTCTTCATCATCCTTGAAAGACTTTTGAAAATCTATCACAGGCAAAATTTCTTTGGAAAGTTTCCTGGGTTTACAATTTATTTTCTGAGAAAGGAGGGATTTTTTTTTTTATTTTTAATCGAAATTGAAGGCATTTTCCAATAGTTTTCCTGATGTTCAAAAGTTTTGCAGTTCACTGGCCACCCTGGTTAAAATTTTAAATTTTTTAACAGATATGTATATTTTGTTAAAACTACTGTAAACTTTCTTAATGCTAAGTACTCAATTTAAACATTTTAGTAGTGAAAAAGTGACTTTAGTGACTATTTTTAGGGAAATAGTGACTTTAGTGACGTTTTGGTGTAAAAAGTTACTTTTTAGTGACTGGCTTCAAAATAGTGACCAAGTCACTAAAAAGTGACCTGCTACCAGCCCTGTACTTATGAATATTTTAGGTGGACAAAAAGGCGAACTAAGAGGTGGACGCATAGAGGTAACTCTTAGGCCAGAAGGTCCCGAAGAAACGTGCTCAATTTTTTGGCTCAACTCTGGTACTATCTTCGGTCCCAAGCTAATCGATGCACCCCTAGAAACATAGGAAATGATCCTCATTTTATCTGACAAACTTTCATAGCGAATCAAAACAAACATAGTGTAATACTTGGGATTTGCTTGGGACCAATCAATAGGCTAGTCAAGAAGTGAGCCAATTTTAAATCGTTAGTTTCCAACCGATGATTATACATCAACGAATGCCTGAAAAAAACGTGTATTTCGGTTCAGTAGGTCCCACCGGGGCCCCGTCAAGTTTTGGCAGGATTTGGCGAGTTGTAACTACAGTAAGAATGCGCAACAGTGGTATCGCGATAATGGAGTAGACGTCATTGAGAAAGGGATGAACCCTCCAAATTGCACGGATTTTCACCCAATCGAAATGTATTCCGGTATCATCAAAGCTAAACTGAAAAAGAGTGGAAAAATGGCTAAGGATGCTTTTCAATGGCCTGATACTGGACAAAAGCAGCCGGTGAGGTTGACCAGCAGTTTGTGCAGAAGTCGATGGCACGTATCAAGCCCAAAGTTCGAATTTTCATTAGCGAGGAATAAAAATCCCAAAACCCATATTGTATTTTCTTCGAATAACATTTTTTCGAGTAACCTGAATCTCAATAGGACTAGTAATAGGGGAAATGGATGTAATGTCGGCCTGAATGCCAAAAATTCAGCAATCGACTAAAGTTTCAATAGCGACCAACAATATCCATTAGTACCTAGAAAAAATTGATAAATAGCAGATTTTTAGCGATGGGCCCAATCTTAGATCCATAGGCCAACATTAGAGCCATTTCTCCTACTCAAACTGAAATTATGGACACTCTCAAACTGCTTAGCAAGTTTCTGAGCTTTTACGCATTTGTGAATAAAATGTTACCACCTCCTTGTTTTGAGATTTTTCCAAAAAAATTTATGACTTCCCAAAAGCATTTCGAGCTCGGGTCTAATTTCGACACATTATTTTTAAAAATTGTGTTCTTTAGGGCAGATAATCGCATTTTTAACAGAAACAGCAATAAGAAGTTTACTGTGAGCGGTAACGGGAGGTCGAGCGGACCTTTTTTTTTTTTCTTAATTTGTTTTCCGTCGATCTTGTTTTCCGTGCTGAGCAGATTTTTTTTTTTTTTTTTTTTTTTTTTTTTTTTTTTTTTTTTTTTTTTTTTTTTGACTCGAGTAATTTTCAACTACGAACTTGCAGTGGCGGATGCGCGGGTCGGATGCGCGGTTTATCAAGTGTTGAAATAATGAAATTCCGAATTTGGGCCGAACGCGAGCGAAGGGTGCAAAACGCGTTCCGCTGGTCAGCCGGCAGCAAGAAAGAAGCACTCGCAGCAGTAGCACCACCGGGTGAAAAACTGCAGCCGGAATCAGAGGACTAACGCTGGAGGAGCACGAGGATATTTCCAGCTTCCCGTCGGCGCAGTGGAGCTCCCTGGATCAAGCAGGAAGAAGAGAAGTCTTTTACCCACGGCCAACAGTGTGTTGATGTATCTGTGTGCAATGTGAACACCATCAACACATCTCAAACTGCCTTTAGGTTCAATTGGCTAAACTTGGTGAGTTCGTTCCTTTTTGTTCATTTTATCTTTTCAATCCAGTAACGCTGGTAGATCACCTTTTCGTGTTGTGTTACTGGAACAAGATTTTCACCGAACTCTAGTCCTGAACAGGAGGGGCCTTATTACGGGTGTCACTACACGGTGATAAGGAAGTAATACTCAGAATAAGAGCCGTGAATGAAATGGGAATCACTTCTCCGTGACTACCAGTGTCAAGTTTTCACCGTGAGGTGACATCCGTAATAAGCCCCGAGTTTTCAGTGAGCAGGGGAACACACTTTGGACCTTGTTATTTTTAATGTCTTGCTAATAGTGACAAGACTCGAGTATGTAGTTGTTGGTGCTACCATGGTGATTGTATTTGGTGAGCTTGTTCCAGTTAAAAACAACCCGTTTGTTTCCTGCCGGGATAACCTTAATCGCGCGTGATCTATTTTGCGAGTGCAAGAACATAGTTGAGTCTTGTGGGAGGGAAGACGTTAGGATTTATCCCAGGCTACTATTGCAGAAAATCGTAATTGATAGATGTTGGGCGGAACGCGTCGGAATGTTTAGAAGGGAGGGCGCACGCTTGATCCACTTTGCTTTCGGGAACGTGATTTAACTTGTTCTGATTCATATTACGAACACGCTCAAATTCTGAGCACTTGTGTTTTTGTATGGGACGGATTTTGAAAATTTTTCTTTTAGGATGTCCATATTACGATAAGTCGTGAGTTTAAATACATTCTGAGCGGATCAGCAATATTTTAGGTAAAAAGGTGTTTTTCAAAGGATGATTTTAACGCACTGTTCGGAATTTGAATCAATACGGTAAATCGCGCGATGATCGAGACGTTTCCGTCGGATAAGATTATTTTGCGGCCGAGTGTCTAGGAAGCTATGGAAACCGAAATGGCTCTTGATTTTGTTTTATGCCCTTATAGTATAAACCACCATCGCACTTCGTGAGTTGCCCCAATAGAACCCTTGCTTTTGGTTTGAATCAGTACAAATTCGTTCTATTATATAAAAAAAAAAGAAGTATACATATTCATTTTCTTCCGAACTAAATAAACCACCATCACACTTTGTGAGTGGCCCCAACAGTATCCTTGCTGTTGGTCTAAATCGGGTCAAATCGGTTCTAATAATTATTTTATATTCAATCAAGTAAACCACCATCACACTTTGTGAGTGGCCCCAACAGCATCCTTGCTGTTGGTTTAAATCGGTTCAAACCGCTTATAATTAATTATTTTGGTCATTGATAAAATAAAATAAACCATCATCACACTTTGTGAGTGGCCCCAACAGTATCCTTATTGTTGGTTTAAATCGGTATACACACATCTAATAATGATCTACATCTCTAGACAGCCGGCTGTTTAGAGCATAAATCGAAAACACTTATAAATAACTACACAAAACAAAAGATCGCATCACTTATCAAGGTGAATCCTGATCCAACGAACCTAACCCACTAACAAAACCTCCTTCCTGTGACTTTTGTGGGATGCAGAGGTAAACACGGTCCCAAAACAACAAAAGTCACACACTAACATTCCTTCCCTCTCCCACCTGATTGCAAGGACGTGGCCGGTGACGTTATTGATCTTTAAAGGTAGGAGTCACTGGAACATGTACACTGAGAATGGCAGGTTACTCCCAAGCCCCATTCAGTTGATTCTTTGTACAATTTCACTGGTTCAGATCAATCACGGAGTGCAACTATCGATACGTGCAGTCAGACTAAGCTAAGCTAAGATCTTGTTTTCCGTGCTGAGCACCAATGCTACCGACGCCAGGGAGGCAGCTCCCACACCTGGACCCTACCTATCGACCCATCAATTCATGAACCGGAGACTAACGGCTTCACTTCCCCGAAGGAAGGCGTGATCAGAGATGTTATGCCTCAGAACATCCCGGTGAGGCCGACTGGGATTGAACCCACACCTGCTGGGGTGAGAGAGCGGACCTTACAATTCACAATATGAAACAATGGGTGTGCTAAAAAAAGCTCCAAGTTAAGGGCAAACGTAAGTTCCAGTAGCAACGCAAAAACCAGAAGAAAAACCGGAATTTGCTAGGAACGTAATAATACCTAGGACCGGGCTAGGACTTCGATAATCCGATGTTTATACAACCACGAAAAAAAACTAAATTCATGCTACCCATGCAAGTGGAAACCTTAGCGATTTGGTTACCCGCACCTTCCACGAAAGCTTCAGGTGGGCATCAAAACAACCGCAGTTTCGAGAATTCGAGTCGATCGTTCGAAGCGCAGCTAGGAATGCAATGGTGAAAGGAAATATTATACTTGTGATGTTTGGTAGGGGGTAATGACGATACTCACTCGTTGTGGGGAATATCCTCATCCGGATCGGCTGCCACCGTTCCGATTGTCAGCACCGTCATCATCAGAAAGACAAACGCCATTATCCCAGTCAATAAACGACGGCCCCCCAACAACGCAGGCCGCTTCCTTGGGGGATCCATCATCGTTCCGATTCCTTTTTTTTTCGCTACTGCACTCGTATGATGGATATTCGATATGCTCGCAGTTATGAGGTTTTGTCTTCTTAGCGAGGACTTTTTTATGATTTATTTATCTTCTTGTTTTATGGGTGTATATTCCACACACGCTTTCGGGTACGGTTGGTTCTTCGGTAAACTTTTTTTCTTCGGCAGACTCTTCCCTTGGCTAATGCCCACTCGTCAAATAGTAGTATCACTCAAACGATCAAAGCTTGTGCGGGCGAAATCATTTTACGACGGGTCGGAGCTTTTTCCCGCTCTTTTCTTCTTTTTTCTTGTGTATATCAATAAAATATTCAATTTAAATATAAATTACACCATCAGTGTAGCGGAAACGAAAAGCACTGACATTTTTTCACCTCCCTTCGCTAGCGCGTACGAGAACTGCTGCAGCGCTGCCTATCTCACCCCGAGGGGTGGTACTGGTACATCTAGCGTTTAGGTCTGGGGGACGGGAGGCGGCGGATCGTTGGGAGTGATGGGAGTCCAAGGAAAGCTTTATGAACACCAATACCAGCGCACTGGGGAGCGCAACGGAACACACACACCAGCGAACGTGGGACGCGCGCGTGTCGTACCGAAAATTTTACACCAAAAATTGCACATACAACTAACTCTGACACGGCAGAGGGTGAAATTTTTACTACCCTTCACGAGCCAAGAAGGAAATTTAAGGACCGAAATGGTACTTGTCTAATCCTTTATCTCCAACTTAGATGAACACTGGTGACGATTTTCTCTTCTTGTTATGTTATGTTCAGGTATTTTTACACTCTTCTACTTCGGTTTTACTCCACCATCATTATGCTTCATTTACATTCTTTTCCGTTTTCGTTTTTAATTTATGCAACACGATTCTGCTTCCTGAATGTCATTGCAAACTGCAAACCAACTGTGGGGTACAATTTTCCGTACCAAAAAAGCAGGACCGTCGAATGTACTATACCAAGGACGGAGCGAAAAAACGCACAATCCTTCAAATGCACTTTCAACTTAAACAGCCACAAACTTCAGCTAATGAATTGAAACCGAAATTTGGCGAAATTGATTATTCTTCAATACTCATACCAAACACTAACCAGCCCTACTGCAATCGCTTGAATCATTCCCAATAAGAAAAAAAAAGTTGGCAAGCGTGCCACCAGGTAATAAATTTTCAATCCACAAACGCACTCAGGATCAGGTCACGGCTTCAAGGCCAAAATTGCATTTATCCCGTTCGCCAAGGATCTCACTTCAGATTTCTCACATATTCATCGATATTTTTCATCCTTTTTCGCTGATTTTCCTCTTTTCAACATCCACCCGAAAAAAATTCCTACGATTGGCCAAAAATTTTCACGCTCATCCGAGGAAAAGAGGCTCGATCCACTACACTCCAGCCTTCGCTTTTTGCCGATTTACGGTCTACTCGAAAGGAAAAAAAAGCCAACACTGAACAGACACTGCACCAACAATTAATTAAACTATCATTTTCTAATGTTATATGCTTCTGCAGCTCCACACGATGACGGGAAAAAAAAGTACGATACCAAATTTTCCTCCCAAATCTGCTACGATATTCGGTCAGCGCCCGAAGAAAAAGCTGCCGATGATGTGCTGCTGCTCTTGTCGCTGGCGGAAAATCCTATTATTTAACCTTCCCGTACAACAGCGCGCCTCACCGAGTCCTCAGTCATATAGTAGGAGCTGCCCCACACCAGCACCAGCATAGTATAGGCACAGAGAAGAGATTCGCCTGCTTTTTTCCCACACACGCACCTCTCCGAACCGAATCCGCTACCGAACGGCGACGGCGACCGTGTCGTAATACGAGAATATTGGAAATACTATACACACTAAACCCCCCTTCGCAGACGCCGCCGACGTCGTCGCCATCGCCACCGCGTGTAGTGTGTAGGAGAGAGCTAGACGATGCTCCGAGAGCGCCAAAATCACAGAGCGAAAAGGTGTAGCATGACAAGGATATGGGTGACCTCCCACCACCCTCCCCAGAAAGAGCGAGAGAAAGGAAGAAGACCTCCAAGTGGCGGTGGAGCAGAGCCATAAAGGGAGAGTAACTGCGCGAGTCACGCCAATACGCACGCGCTCGGGGGCCCTTCCCGAAAATGAGAAATTTTACTGTCTTCGAAAAAGTTTGACTCCACTCGCAAATGACAGCTCCACAGGGATACATAGGTACGCAAAGCCAAAGGAGATTGTAGGACGAAAATATTCGAAATTGGTGACAGTCAAGGGGACTTGTTGAGAAGTCCAATGAAATGAACTACATACTTTAACAACTTTGTAGTCCTGTCACGGCAGGGTTAGTAGTGCTGATGCAATATAATAGTAGTGACTTTAGTGACTAAAATTACGGAACCAGTGACCAAATAGTTACTTGTAAATACTAAATACCATTTATATGGTAACTCAAAAATTCAAATACGGTTTATTTTGAAATAAACTTTTTATATCATGGAACTCAAAATCAAAATTCATAAATTCCTCTAATTTAATCGAATTTCACAACAGAATCTCGTACCTTCCTCAAAATTGTCCTTTGCTCGCTTTCTACTTTGTATATACAATTTTCACACTGCCGTACTATAACGGAACTATTTCAACTCAATAATTTAATCTCCTCATCTATCGGTTAAAATCTCCACTTTAAGTCTGATATTTGACGTTAAGCATCTCCGGCTGTGTGAATCGTTAAGGGGAAGCAGACCGCTCCGAAAAAAAATTACGTTTTGATTTTTCTAAAAATATTGAAAAAAAAGTATCAAAAATCTAAAAAAATCACATTTTTTCTAATTTTTTAAAGAAAATTCACGTGCAAAAACATGTTTTATAAGTCATTATGGCATAAAGTTGGACTCAAAAAACCACAAAACATCAACTTTTCGGTTTTTCTGAGAGTCCAATTTTTTTTCATGATGGGATAGAAAAAAAAATTTTGCATGTAATTTTTGACAAAAATCTAAGGAAGAAAATTATTTTCTTGGATTTTTGATAATTTTTCCCAATATTTTTAGAAAAATAAAAACGTACCGAAAATATTTTTTTATTTTTGGGCCGGTGAGCTTCCCCTTAAATTCACGCATGGAGTAATAATACATGATTAGTTAAAGTAGATTATTTTCGTTTTTTATTGATTTTTCTAGGAACTTCCTGGAGGCTCCTTCCATAAATCCATTTTAAATTTATTTGAATTCTCTTTAGAATTTCCATTTCCAATTGACCTCATAAATTTCATTGTGAGGTCTTCGAATAATCTTGGACTTCTTCCCTGCATTCAATTGGAAATTCAATTCGTATTCCCCTTAAGAATTCTCTTTGAAGTAGCATCAAAAATCACCCCAGAATTCTTTAAGAACTATCCGTAAAGACCATCTTTGGAGTGCACGGGATTTTCTTCCATTTTTCCTCAGGGCCAATTTTCATGTTAAGCCAAATTTCAGAACTAATTTTGAATTGTTATTAGAATTGGACCTAGAATCCTCATCCAATCATTCTTCTCAGAATACACTACAGAATTACAGAATTTTGCGTCTCTAATAATTTAAACAAAAATCAAAAGCGACGCTCGTATGTGTTAAGCTAAGTTTAACTATGTGGTTAAACCTGGCTCAAAATTTAAGTGGAGATAAAGAAATCGGTCCTCGGAGCACTTAATTTTACATGAGACTTTCGTAGTTTGTACTTTGTTATTCTTCTCTGATATATCTTGGTGTCATCCCTAGAATCCTTTAAAATTCTCTTAAATTTGCTTGGATTTTTTAGTTCTTAATCATCCTTGAAAGACTATCACAGACAAATACCTTTGGAAAGTTTCCAAGGCTTACAATTTATTTTCTGGGAAAGGAGGTATATTTTCCCCGATTTTTAATCGAAAATGAAAGGCATTTCCCAATAGTTTTCCTGGTGTTAAAAAGTTTTGCGGTTCACTGGTCACTTTGGTTCAAATTTTCAATTTTTAACAGATATGTATACTTTGTTAAAACTACTGTAGACTTTCTTAGTGCCAAGCACCCAATTTATTATTTTTTTTATATTTTTAAATTTCACTGTATTTCAATAGTGAAAAGGTGACTGTAGTGACTATTTTTAGGGAAATAGTGACCTTAACGACTTTTTGGTGTAAAAGTGACTTTTTAGTGACTGGCTTCAAAATAGTGACCAAGCTACTAAAAAGTGACCTGCTACCAGCCCTATGTCACGGTCGCCATTAAACAACTTTTGTGTTAATCGTTTGATGGTTAAAAATTAAGTGTTTATTTCTCTTAGCAAATACTTACATGAAGCTTAACTCTACACACAAATCTTAAGTCTACACGACATTTTTTCTAGTGGGAGGTGCTTGGAGTTACTTTGTAAATTTAGTTTAACCACTCAACTTCGATTTGGCTATTCGTTAAAAGAGTGTTTTCAAGAAGCGTCACAAATACACGTAACTCGTACCTCTTGAGGTTGGTTTGTATATCGATGAATAATCACGACATAGAATGTAGGTCGGGTGAGTATTGAACTGCATGGAATGTAGCTGGTAGTATTTTGAGCTGTTGTTTTCTCTGTTTCGTTTTCAAGTGGCAAAGCGCTAACGAATGTTATTGTACGTAGTGTCAAAACATGTGTTAGCAATAAAATGTAAAAAGACTGTTATGAATTTCGACGAAGTAGATGCACTTGAGGAACGGACCACAAGTCTAGATAAACATTTCAAAAGGTTCTATCTGCATTGATCGATTTTCTCTTTCGTCAATAACTCAGCTGCAAAACCTTTCCCTGTTGTATTTTACGTTTTGGACGCTAGATAAGAACCTCCTTTATCAAACTATGTGGTAGAATTAGCGCGAAATCTGTTTTCATAGCAGTGGTTATGAAAAGAGAAAGTCGATGAAGAGAATCGATCAAAGCAGATAGGACCATTTGAAATGTTCATCGAGAAGTGTCCTCTTGCAAAACATGGTTTTCTTGTAAATGGATACTCTCACCAAGATCAGTTCTATTCTATGCATGAGAACTTCTTTTGAACTTGTGAATGATAAGGGTTAATTTGGATTTTCCAGATTCTTGTACATGTCTCATGTTCTTTGTGACTTTCTACACTACTGGTACCGATTTGAATTTCAATTTCCCCATCATTCTAAATTCTTCGGCCACTCCACTGATTTGCACATGCGGAGACTTATGGTTCTTTATTTTGGAATCTAGCTCTAGATCGGATAAGATTTAAAAATAAGTTGTCTGTTCAAGGGTCGTAAAGTAACTAACGTATGTATGTGTTTCATTACATAGCATCGGTGCCAGTTACAAGGTGGGTCCCAATTATTTTTCGATTAAAATTGTAATTAACTCCAGAATAATTTGAAGAGTATTAAATATCTTATTGAACCCATTCGATGATGTGCATGTTGACAGAAGGCTCATCAGGACTTCCCGGACTCATAAAGACTTTCAGAACATTGTTCAAGACTTCATTGAGCCTGTAGATCTTTAAGATCTGAACTCCAGAGTACTTTGAAGTGCAACAAAGGCTATCTTGGACTCATATGGAATTTCAGGAGATAGCTTTTTAGGGCTCTGATGATGTGTTGCATATGTCGGAAACGTGAGTATCAAAGCAAGTTGAGTCAATAGGACATCAAGGACATTTTGGAGAACCTAGAAGACTTCAGGATTTTTTTTAGTGAAATGATGGTTATTTAGTTTTACCTAATAGATATCACATTCAATTTGTAAAAAAATATTACTCTTCTAAATTCAGAAGGAATTCTAGTTCACTTTAATCGATTCTGTTATTATCAATTGCATTAATATAGTTGATGTATTAACATAGATTCGGACCACTACCTAGTTGCAGTATGCATGCGCTCAAAACTCTCGACGGTGCATAACACCCGTCGAAGTCGAACGCCGCGACCAAACATTGAGCAACTACGGGACGCCGGAGTTGCACAGGACTACGCACAGCAGCTGAAAGTTGCACTACCCACGGAAGAGCAGCTTGGCTCACCTTCTATTGAAGATGGTTGGAGGGACATCCGTTCCGCCATAGGTAATACTGCTGCTGCGGCACTAGGTACTGCAATCCCGGACCGAAGAAATGA